GAAGAGCAGTAACATATCGATAATATTAATAAGGAAACCAAAAAGTAAAAGTAATTATACTAATAATAATTGTCTATAAGTAATGGTTTTAGTTTTATGCATCGGTACTCTTGGTAGCTCTAATGTTCAAGAAGTAATTATTAATGCTATTATGCTAGACTAGAAGAGGGAAATGGTAGTAGAAAGAGGAGTAATTTAGTAATTTTATGAGAAGCTAGTTAGAGTGTTGGAGTAGAGAGCAAGTCAGCAATTGCGAGGAATAATAGGGGATAGGCTGCATATTGCGGGGCGTTGAGAAAAGTTGAGAGAAAAATAGTTACTTGGGAGAGCACCAACCTCTCGAATGTTGGCTATGTTTAATTGGTGACTTCCACCTTGATTATTATCAATACAATCATGTCATACTAGTTTCCCCTAATCTGATATTGCATCTTCTTAATACCTCAGAATTTTCTGTTCTAATAAGAATAGCTAAGGATCATCCTCATTATTAGCATATATATGGCTCTGAACTGCTCATGTATATTTCATTGGGGTTTTATTTATATCTAATTTAGTCATGACAGTAACATTCTCTTTCTCGAGATTCATTATGAAGGTTTGCCCTTAATGCAAAAATGGGAACTATGATATTGTGATGTAGTTATTGATTGGTTTAATTCTTTAAAAATAGTGCTCATAGGCAATAGTTAATGGCTTTAACATTGAGGCTGGACTTCTGTTGTTCTAATGGGAAAACAAGTAGATTGGCTGTTTAGCTGCTGAATTTGCTAATATAGCTGCTGTTCGTATTACTGCAATTTTGCCTCTATGTCTATATCCTGTGATCCTGTCTATTGGCAAAGGCATCAACCTAAAGAATTTAAGTTGGTAGAGTAGTATGTAAAATTCTGAATTTGAGTTTGTTTTCTATTGATTGCTTCGATGTTTAATTTGGAAGTTGTGGCTTGTTCTCCTTGCCAATTGAATGTAACTGTCTGTTTGGTTTTACAATGTTTGATGATGGTGACCTGAGCCTATTATTTATTCAGGACTCTGAATATTGGAGGGATCTCCAACCAAACTTCCCTTGTGACCTATATTGTGTAGATATCCACTGACATGTTCGAAAATTATCTAATTCGTTGTTGGAATGTTTTTGTAGGCTGTAATCCTTTCCATATAGGTGAACAGAAAGAAATCAATTTTCAAAATGATGGAATCCTTGTATTACTTGTAGGTAGAGCTCCACGCCAGACGGTCAGATAGGGAAATCTTGTGAAAAGATAATGTCTTTTGCTAGTAGTAGCCTAGTAGGAAGGTTACGCAAAAGGTTGCTAGTAATATGCTTTCATAGTTTCATACCACAATAAATCAATGCAAAAACTTTTTTGATAGTAGTTCCTCAAAATACATTGCTTAAAAAGTATTTTTTATACATTTTTTTTTTGTATATTATGTTTGTATCTCGTTACAAGAAGTAATATTAACCCTACATGCAGCACTTGTTTGTAATACTAAGTAATTACTTTAACAGTGAATTTTATGCATGTTCGTGGTTAACAATTCACAGTTACCACTTTTATCCTGTCATATAATGATATAATAACAGTGTTCTCTATTCTATTTGCAGCTCATATCGCTGTCTGAGAAGAAGTGGTGGAAGTAGTTAACAAGTTTGTTGCTTGCTGAAAAACCAAAGCCTAAGAAGGTTACGTGAATTTAGATGGAACAACCTTTTCAACGTCATTGTTTGATGTGAAATTAGCACTGATTTAACAACCACAGCGGCTGCTGCTTCTATAGAGAGGGATAGAGAGAGCTGCAAATTAGCTCAGATTAATTAAGTTTCCGTGTCACATTCAATAAAGTAATGTTCTTATTTGTTATAGCAATTTTCCAAATATCTTTGGTTAATACAAAGATGAATCGTTGTCACTTGATTACGTTGAATGTTCTTTACAATTAAGAAGTAATTACTACATATATATAGTCATTGATTTTACTATTACTCTGTATAAGATATGGAAGTACAGTATTAGAGTATTTCTTCTATGATCTATCTTAATTACCTTGCATTGTGGGATGCATTGTGAGGTTATATAGAGCTCTTTCAAGTTGTTTTGCTTACCGTTGTAACTCAACAAATTTGTTTATTATTCAGGGATTTCATTCTTTAATTGAAACATAAAACTTGTTTCAATTTTTGGGTCTTGAATTAATACGTGGATATAGTATGCAGCACAAGTTAACGACCTAATTAAGCCTATTTTCCGACGTTGACCTTTATTTTCCAGTGTTGACCTAGGTATGCTTGACTTCTAATCATCCTAATTGTACCCCATTTCCCGCCAAATCGCTTACATATAACCCCCGTTATCTCACTTCTTTAAGATGGTAAACTAAATAAGCATAACTGCATAAGTAGTACTTCATCTATGTGGTTGACCTTCAGAAGAACTAGGAGATGGAGGGATCTCCACCCTCCCCCCCAAAAGTGGTGGGGGTTCGAATCCTCATCCCCTCCATTTCTGTAATACGATTAATAAAAAATGTGGTTGACCTACAAGACCTTGTAAACAGTCGTCAAACATCAGAATTTTCTTCTTTTATTTGAAAGTTCCTACGTACTAGGTGCGTCTTCCAATTTTCTTCTTTAGTCATGATTAAAGTCGTTGTATTCGCCGATGCTTGAGAACGAAGAGGAACACAAACTAATATCAAGCATTTATAACAATTACTTAGTTTGTGTTTCACCCTTATCAAGAATCGTAATTACTTATTCTGCTGCACTCGTCGATTCTTTCAAGGATAAACACAAACTATATATATATCACCCTCCAAAACATGAAGAGGGTTCATAAGCTTAATTCTTTCAATAAGGACGATGTTTCAAGTAGTTGCATTGATTATATTTGTGTTTTTATATCGATGTTAAATAATAATTGGATCATATTTTTGTTATTTATTATATATATATATATATATATATATATATATATATATATATATATATAGAGGAAGGCTCATGTAAGAACCCTCCTCTATATAAGAACCCATTATATATAAGAACTAATCTGGACCGTACAATTAGTTTGATCTGACCGCTGAAAATGAATGATTAGTAATGGCATTTTAGTAATTTTTGCTGTTCTTTTCCCTTTCTTTCTCCTCATTCACGGTTCTTCTTTCCTTTTTTTTTTTTGGGCTTTGAACATTACAGCTCTCTCTCTCCTCTCATACATTACAAATTTACAACTCTTTCTCTCTCCTCTCATACATTACAACTCTCTCTCTTCTCATACTTTTGGATGCAAATTCCTTCAAGAAATTAAGGTTTGTTATTCAATTTTTATAATTTTGATAATTCTTTTAGTTAATTTATTTATTTGATATCTATTCTTTGCGAATTTTTGTTGATTTTTTTTTTTATTTTGGCGAATTTGTGTGAAATTTTATTTTTCATATTATTTGTGGATATGCAATTCATCAATTCGAAAATCAGCAAAAATCTGTTTTTTTTTTTCTTTTTGCGATTTCATCATTCATTTTTTTTATTATTGAGATTAATGTAAGTTTATGTCGATTTTATCTTTTTTTTTTTTTTTTTTTTTTTTTGCGAATTTTCTTGAGTTTTTTTTCATTAATTTCATCAATTTCATTTTCTAGTTTTCTCTTTCTTCTTCGATTTTTTCATTTCCAGATTTTTTCAATGTTATATGTTTTTTTTGTTTTTTTTTTTTCCTACTTTCGAGCAATTATTTTTTGTTTTTTTTCGATTTTATCTATTTTTTTTTTTTTGCGAATTTTCTTCAGTTTTTTTTCATTAATTTTCTGTTTTTTTTTGTGATTTTTCATTTCCAGATTGTTCTGTTTTTTCCTTTGCTTGAGTTTTTTTTTCCATATTTTTGTTTTTTAATGGATTTTAATTTCTAGTTGCTTTTTTGCTACAATATGTGTTTTTTTAAATAGGTTTTTGCATATTGATGGATTTAGATGGTGTTCAACCTAATTATCCTTCTTCTTGTGTTACTCATTCAGGTAATTTTATTGTTTTTAATGTTTTTAATTTCAATTTACTTACATGTTCTAAAGTTTCTTTACTATGTTCTAAAGTTTATCGGTAATGTTCTAAAGTTTTCTCTATATGTTCCCATCGAATGATAAGTGCAAATGCCATGTTCCGTTGCCTATTGAACTCCTTTTAGAATGCAGAATACATCGGAGTATGAAAGAGTGGTTGATGAAGGATTATAAAAAGTAGTACGTGTGGGTAAACAATATTGATCATTATTGAGGAAGTTAATTAATTTGATAAATAAAAAATATCTAATCATTTTAAATAATTTGTAATGATTCAAAGTAAACTGTGGGTAAACAATATCGATCATTATTGGATAATGCCACAACAACCTCAAGGCTCGTCTTGGAGCTGGGCATTGGGGGCTTGGGAGTTGGGAATGCTACTTTTATCCTAGCAATCTGACATAGGGATAGTTGATGCATGTCACTGCCACTGGAATCACCAAAGCATGGCCCCATCAATCTGACATAGGGAGTAGGGAATCCTACTTTATCTTTATATTCTAAAACTTTCATTCTATGTTCTAAAGTTTACCTTCTAGTTTTAAATTTTACTTTTTATGTTCTAATGTTTACTTTCATTGTATGTTCTAAAGTTAACCTTTTAGTTTAATTTTTTTACTTTATTCTAAATTTTATTATGTATGTTATAAAGTAATTCACTATGTTCTAAAGCAATATGTTATAAGTATGTCCTAATTTACTATGTTCTAAAGGTTATCCTTGATGTTCTAAAGTTTTCTCTGTATGTTCTAAAGTTTTCTATGTATCTTTCTCTTTATATTATAAAGTTTTTTATTATGTGCTAATGTTTTCTTCATATTCTATGACTTTCATTGTATGTTCTAATGTTTACTTTCATGTTCTAATGCAGTTGGTGATATTTTATCGTACTCCAGAGGTTGTTGGATCATTTAGCCTGGTGGTACCACTAAGGAATGGATTCCAATGTTCCCAAGGAGTTAAAACCCAGTTTGGGTATGATATTTAAAGATCCTGAAGAGGGTCTTAGTTTTTATAAAGCATATGCAAATGCCGCTGGGTTTACTTCTAGGAAATCTACTACTAAAAGGAAGAAGAATAACAAAGATATAATTGCTTTTCAATATGGAGTTTGCAATAAGGAAGGTTTTAGGGCAATAAGAAAACCTATTGCTCAACAAACAGTTTATGAAGAAGGAAAAGTTCATATTACTAGGAAACGTTTAGTCACTCGTGTAGGATGCAATGCTCACATATGTATGAGATATGATGCTGGAAAGTATGTTGTAACTCATTTCAAAGAAGAACATAATCATCTTTTATATACTCCAAGTTGTGCAAAATTTCAGAAGGATAATAGAAAAATGCATATTATGCATAAAAAGTTGATTGTTGATAATTCAAAGGTGATTTATTTTTATGTACTAAATAATGTTTTTTTTTGTTTTGATTTACTATGTTCTAAAGTTAATTCTTAATCTTAGTAATATTTTTTTTTTTCTAACAGGTAAATGTTGGTCCTGTGAGGTCTTATACTATGATGAAAGAATTAGCTGGATCACATGATAATGTTGGTGCATCTAAACAAGATTTCAAAAATTTTTATAGAGATTTGAAGGCTTATATTGATGGATCAGATGCCCAAATGTTTGTGGATAATTTTCAAAATAAGAAAGTGCTTTGGAGTGCATTTTTTTTTTCCTATGATGTTGATGAAGAAGATAGACTTTGTAGAGCTTTATGGGCTGATCCAATCTGTCGAAAAAATTATGCACTTTTTGGTGATATGGTTTCTTTTGATACCACATTCAAAACAAACAGGTGATGTTTTAAATATAAATTTCTTTCATAATGTAATTAATATTTTACTTTTACATATTAATTTTTTAAACATATGTTCTTATATTCTAAATATCATGCCTTGTGTTCCTAAACAAATATCCATCATGTTTTGATGTTCTAAACAAATATTCTTTATGTTCTAAACTATGTATGCCTTATGTTCTAAACATATATTGCTAATGTTCTACCTTATGCTTTAAAATATATCCATCATGCTTTTATGCTTTAAACATTATGCTTTTGTGTTTTACACTTTATTCTTTGTGTTCTAAACTAATATCCATCATGTTCTAAACATTATGTCTATATGTTCTAAAGTTTACTTATAAGTTTTTAAAGCTTTACTGTATATTTTTAGTTTAGTGTTTATGTTTTAGAGTAATTCATTATGTTTTAAAACAACTATATTACTGCAAGTTTAATAATTAAAGTAAATTACTATCCTCTAAAGTTTATCCTTAATGTTCTAAAGTATACCTCTATGTTCTAAAGTATACCTCTATGTTCTACAATTTACCTCTATGTTCTAAAGTTTACCTCTATTTTCTGCATAAATAATTTGTGTATGTTACAGATATAATATGATCTTTGGTCCATTTACTGGAGTTGATCATCATAAAAAATGTGTTACTTTTGCGGATTCTTTTGTAGCTCATGAGGATATATCATCTTTTGAATGGGTTTTCAAAACTTTTCTTAAAGCAATGGGAAATAACGAGCCTGTGTGTTTGATTACCGATCAAGACCTGCAATGAAAGTTGTTGTTCGTAATGTTTTTCAAACTACAGAACATAGGTTTTGTATGTGGCATATTATGAAAAAGGTGCCTGAAAAAGTAGGTCGGGCGATTGCCCAAGACACTGATTTCTTGAAAAACTGTGTTCATGTGTTTGGCATTTAGAGATTGAGCCGGCAGAATTTGAAGAAAAGTGGAACAAAGTTATTTCAGAATTCCATTTGAACGATCATGAATGGTTGGCATACATGTACAACATACGTGATATGTGGATTCCAGCGTATTTCAGAGATTTATTTTTGGGTGGCATTATGAGAACCACATCTAGATCAGAAAGTGAAAATAATTTTTTCACTATGTTCACAAATCCCCATCTCACTTTGATTGAGTTCTACATGAGGTAATAAGTAATTGTCTATATATGTTCTAAAGTTACTCTTTATGTTCTAAAGTTTTCCTTGTATGCTCTAAAGTTTTCTTTTTATGCTTTATAGTTTTACTATTTATTTTATAATTCTCTTTTATGTTTTCTTTTTCTCTTTATGTTTTAATAATATTTAGATCATAATAAACATGTCATGTATATTTATATGTTCTAATGTAATTCACTCTATGTTCTACAATTATCTTCTATGTTTTAAAGTTAATTTCTATTTTCTATAGGTTTGAATGTGCATTGAATGCTCAAAGGCACACTCAAAATAAAATGGATAATGATTCGAAGAATAAGCGTCCGGAGTGTAAGACTCCAATTCCTTTAGAGAAAGATGCTTCTGAATTGTTTACAACAACAATTTTCTATGAATTTCAATATGAGCTTGAAATTGGATGTTTTAATTGTGGTGTTGAGGAGATGAAGAAGGACAATGAGCTTTACATTTTCAATTTGAGGGAAGGAACTAGAAGGAGGACTTTTGATGTTGTTTTTGATCCAACTACCTTTGATACCAAGTGTTTTTGTAAAAAATTTGAACGTGATGGTGTGCCTTGTAGGCATATGATTTGGGTGTGGAAGGCAAGGATGTTAGAAAAAATTCCCAAGGCCTACATTCTAAATAGATGGTGTACAATGGCTTATAAGAAGCCCATTTTTGATTTAGAGGGTAATGTGTTGGAGGAATGTATTAATGCAGTAGATAAGAAAATGTTATTAAATGATTTGTGGTCTGAAATTCATGCTTGTGTGAGTTTAGTGCAAAACAATGAATATGATCTTAGTGATCTTGTCAAAAAACTTCGAGCCATGAGGGTAGATTTGGAACAGAAGAAAACAAATGGAAGCAACAATCTTTCGAGCAAAGTTAAAGACATTGAAATGCTTATTGGAGCTAGTCTACCTTCTAATGTTTTAATCAAACCTCCTAAAATTTCGAAGAACAAAGGCACGGGGGTTCATGTTCCAAATCAGGTCAATGTTCCAAATGATGTCCATGTTCCAAATCAGGTTCATGTTCCAAATCAGGTAAATGTTCCAAATGATGTCCATGTTCCAAATGATGTCATGTTCCAAATGAGGTTCATGTTCCAAATAGTGACAAAAGAATGAAGAGTGACAGAGAAAAGTCTATTGAACAAAGTCAAAAGAAGAAGAGATTATGTAGAGCATGTGGGGAGCTTGGTTATCATGATAGTCGTAATTGCCCTGGAAAAGTCAAGTGATATTGTAAGTAAACTTTATTTTTAATTTTCTTATATTTATTTTGTTCTAAAGTAATTATGTTTTAAGCAAGTTTAGAACATAAAGTTATTCATATATGTTCTAAAGTAATTCAATATGTTCTAAAGTGTTTTCTCTTTGTTCTAAAGTTACTTTTCTATGTTCTAAAGTGTTTTCTCTATGTTCTAAATGTTTATTCTTTCTGTTTTAGTGTAATTTAATATGCTCTAATGTTTAGAATATAAAGTTATTCATTTTGTTCTAAAGTTTTCCTTATATTTTAACTTTTCTCTTTATGTTCAAAATATTTTCTTTATATGTTCTAAAGTTTTCTTTATATGTTTTAAAGGTTTCTTTAAATGTTCTAAAGTTTTTACTCTATATAATATCATGTGTTCTAAACTAATAGAAATGGCATGTTATAACATTTTTTAATGCTAAATTATGTGCTTATGTTCTAATATTGTTTTATTTTTTTTTTCTTTACAGGTTGGTGAATATACTATTAATCCAGTTGCATGAGATGTTATATATTTAGAAACAATATCTCATTTACTAGCACGTAAAATATTATTCATGTAATTCTTAAAATATAAGAACTCAATTTATTTACTTTTAGAAACAATATATTTTTATTTCTTTTTTGTCCAATTATTATTCAGAGTATCTCTACTAGTGTTTTTCTTATCAATTTTTATGTTAATTAAAGTTGATTATAATGTTTTATAACATCTCCTGTCTTTTCATCTTCCCCTTTTCGTAATTATAAGTTGTTTTATTAAGTCAATTTGAACTACGAGTAATGATAGTACAAGCATTTTAGATACCTTTATTAAACAACATTTAGTTGAATCTTGCTTTAATCAACTTTTATTTATTCAAGTTTCTTAACATTGATTTACATATGCCTTCTTAGATATGCACTAAAGAGTGTATGCATTGTATTCAAAAGGAAAAATAAAGCAAAAGTAATGGATTAGAAGCAGCCAGTTTAGAACATAAGCAAATACTTTAGAACATAGATAAAAATAATTAGAAGATTAGCAAAATCAATAATTTGGACATGTAATAAGAAAAAAGTACAACATAATAAGATATAATTAGAATCAAGTTACCAATTGAATGCTTTGGAATCTTGTTACTTTGGCTGTTGTCATTTCTTGTTACTTTTTTTTAATTTTCTTATGTTCTAATGTTCTACACTTTAAGTTTTAAGTCAAAATTAATATATAATAATATATTCTAATATCCTAACTTTATAAGCATATAATTATTAAAACATAATCAAAAATACTTTAGAACATACCCATATAATTTAGAACATGAATATAATTTAGCATATAAGTTTATATGATATATTTTATATTAAAATTTTAGCATTTAATATGATTCAACAATATATTTCTTGTAAAGGTAAATACATAGAACATAAAAAATTACTGTTATATTCTTTGCAAATATCTCTCTACAAATATAAACTTAAGATCTTAACAATCATATATCCATTTTGTTCTCCTTTGACCACTTTTTTTGATCTCCTAATCACTTTGTTCCGTTCTTCATTTACTTCTGCTGTTATTATCTTCCCACAATACTCCACTCTTAATTTTTTCATTTGGTCAAACTGCAAAAAAAAAAAAAAAAAAAAAGAGTAACTTTTAGAACATAAACATAAACATTTGGTCAAATTGCAAAAAAAAAAAAAAAGAGTAACTTTTAGAACATAAACAGAAATACTTTAGAACATAAGCATATAATTTAGAACATGAATATAATTTAGCATATAAGTATAAATAATATAATAAACCATAATATATCTAAACAATAACCAAACCAAACCACAACACTAAAACCATAACACCAAAACCATAAACGAAACTAATTTAAAACATGTATCTTATGTTTTAAACTTACATTGTCTAATTCTAGTCCGAATTCCATTGTTTTACAGATTCTCCTTCATATGTTTCCATGTGCTTCAACAGGAACACTCACAATCATGTTTGTTCTTATTGCTCTTCCATGACATACTCAAGTTTCTTGTTTTGAAGGAGGATACAAAGTCACTCTTTATATTTGAGTCAATTGAGTGAACGAAATCAGCAAATGCATTCAACTGAAAAATTGGATAAACTTTAGAACATATAAGGTAAACTTTAGAACATAAAGAAAAACTGTAGAACATATAAGGCAAAAGTTAGAACAAAAGTATAATTAAAAAAATGTAAACTTGAATGTCTTACCATTAATCTATGGTAATTTCCATATTTATTGTGAAAAGGAATATTTGGTGGAAGAAATCTGTTGTCAATCAAATCAAATGTTCTTCCACAAAGTTGACACACAGCAAATAGTAGTGATCTAGTAAAACGACCGGGAAGAAAACCTAATAGATAAACAGAATTAGAACATAGATAAGCAAAATTAAAACATAAGCATGCATTTTAGAACATAAGCATATAGATTAGAACACAAGCATATAATTTTTATAACATGTAGTTTAGAACATAAGTAAGTAGTTTAGAAGATAAATAAGTAGTTTAGAACATAAGTAGATACTTTAAAACATAGATAAAAATAATTAGAACATAAACAAAACCAATAATTAGAACATATAATAAGAAAAAAGTACAACATAATAAGATACCAAATTACCAATTGAATGCTTTTGAAGCTTGTTACTTCGGTCGTTGTCATTTCTTGTTGCATTCTATCAAACAAAGCCTTCATTCTATCATCTTGCCTTTCATTTGATTTGAAGTATTTTTCTGTACAACGTATGAGCTGAAAAAGAAAAAGAAATTAAAACATAAGTAATTAGAAATAGGTGCATAGTATAATCTATATGAGAACAAAAAGAATCTACTCTTAGAACATAGTTATAATTTTAAGTTCGAAAACATACATAGCATTCAGTACTGAAAAAGAAATCTACTCTTCTTGTCTACACCACGTCTTTTATTTTCAAAATTCAATAGGCAAACATAAGCATCCACAACATTGTTCAACATGTGCTTATCTTCTATGAGACTATGAATTCATCTCTCGTAATCGTTGTCCCATGTTATCAGCATACAAAAGCTCCCTAAAATCAGAAACAATAAAATCAGAACATAAGCATGTAGTTTAGAACATAAGCATGTAGTTTAGAACATAAACACATAATTTAAAACATAAGAATATAGTTTAGAACATAAGTACCTTATTTTAGAACATAAGCATATAGTTTTACACATGTACTTTATAACATAATCTCGTAGCTTAGAACACGCAGTTTAGAACATAAGAATGAAGTTTAGAACATAAATTTATAGCTTAGATCATAAGCATATAGCTTAGAACATAAGCATATAGCTTAGAACATAAGCATATAATTTTAAAGTTTTAAAGTCTTACTTATTATCTCCTTGAGCAAACGCATACTCAGCTACCTTTCTATTGTCCACATTCTTGAAAGTTTTTCATGTTCAACCATGAAAGGTGAACGCAAGTACATTGGAAGCTTATCCTTTCCTCTTTTTTTCCGTGTCTTTTTCTTCTCCTTTTTTCTTCTCCTTGTTTCCTACTTAATTCAATTAAAAATATCACATAGATAACAAAACATAACTAAATCAAACGAAAATTTATTGATAACAAAAACCATAACCAAATCAAACCAAAATTTATTATTACCAAGTTCTAAATTAAATTTAACTAAACATAACCAACATTTGTTTTAAAGTTTACAAAATGATTACCCTTTCTTGTTCTCATTTTTTTTCTTCTTTGTTCTTCTCTTCATTCTTGCTTCCTTCATTTTCTTTCTTCTCCTCTTGATTCTCCTCTTTTTCCTCCTTTTTCTTCTTCCCCTTTTCTTCTCTCTTCTCCTCTTGGATCTCCTTTTTCCTCCTTTTTCTTCTTCCCCTTTTCTTCTCTCTTCTCCTCTTGGATCTCTTTTTTTCCTCCTCTTTCTTCTTCCCTTTTCTTCTTTCTTCTCCTCTTGCTTCTCTTCTTTTTTTCTCTTCTTTTTCTTTCTCCTTTTCTTCTTTCTTCTCCTCTTTTTTCCTCTTCTTTCTTCTCCTCTTTTTCCTCTTCTTGCTTCTCCTCTTCATCCAATGTAGGTGGATGATCTGGATTTAGAAAAGCACAATTTAGAACATTTGCTGTCACTTCTTCGTAAGTGAGTTCTGCTTCATTATCTTCTTGATTTTCTGGGACATCAAACCATAAGTAGAAACAATAAGGACACAAATAGAAATAGTTGGAAAAAATTTTAGAACATTAGAAATAATAGAATATAACCAGAAAAATTTAGAACACAAGAAGTAACTTTAGAACATAACTAATTTACAACATAATTATATTATTTAGAACATATGCAATAATTTAGAACATAATCATACAATTTAGAACATATGCACATAATTTAGAGCATAACTAATTTCAAACATAATCATATTATTTAGAAAATATGCACATAATTTAGAGCATAACTTAATTTAGAACATAATCATATTATTTAGAACATATGCACATAATTTAGAACATAATATATTATTAGAGCATATGCACATAATTTAGCACATAATCATATAATTTAGAGCATATGCACATAATTTAGAACATAAGAAGTAGTTTAAAACATAAGCATCTGATTTAGAAAAAATTTAGAACATCAGAAATAATTTAGAACATAACAGAAAAAATTTATAACATAAGAAGTAATTTTAAAACAAATCTAGTAATATTATTTCAAAAGAAAAAAGTTTGAAAATAATGTAAAACTACCAACTGCTGGTGAGGGGGTCAATAACTTGAAACTTGGAGGAGTTATATCAAAAGGTTGCTTCTTTTTTGGAGGAATTGGGGTTTTTGGTGACTCCTCATTCTTTTCTCTTTCTTCTCAATTTTTTCCTCCTCGTTTCTCTCTTTTCTGTACTGCTCTTTTTCTTCTTCTTTTGATCCAAATCTTCATAGCAATTACACCATAAAAATTAAGTATTATAGCAAATAGCAAAAAAATAATTAGAAAATAAAAAAGTAACTTTAGAACATAAGAAATATATACAATTAGGAGACAACCTAGAAATAGTTAGAATATAAAAAATTAAGAATTAACTTTAAAGCATAACCAGAAAAAATTTAGAGCATAAGAAGTAATATTAGAACATATCTAGTAAATATTAGTACATAAAAAATGAATTTGAAAATAATGTGAAATTACCAACTACTGGTGAGGGAATCAACAAGTTTTTGTCTTTATTCTCTTCATTTTCTCTTCTTTGTTCTTATCTTTTTCCTCTTCCTTTGATCTCAAATCTGCTTAACAATTAGAACATAACTAATTTAGTACATAACTAATTTAGAACATAACTAATTTAGAACATAATCATATAATTTAGAACATAAGCATGTGATTTAAGCGCATGTTTTAGAACATAAAAAGTACTTTAAAACATAAGCATCTAATATAGAACATAAGTATAATTTGGAAATTAAGCATGTACATGTGAAATTACCAACTGTCGGTGACTTTGGTGACCTTGTTTCCTCGAATTTCTTCCATGCCTTATCCATAACCATATCCAATTCTTCAATAAATGCCGGTTCATCGAAGACATGTTGATCTTGGCTGAGTATAGAAGGGCTTTTCTTTTCTTCTTGGTTCACGAATGTCTATAAAATAAGAAATTATAATTTAGAACATAATATGCATAATATTTATATAAATTTATTATACTTTAGAACATAAGCTGAAAATACTTTAGAACACAACCAGAAAATACTTTAGAACATAATTATAATACCTTTGTTGTGTACTTGCACCATATGTTGTCTATGAGATGTTGCATTTTTCCTGTTGTTTCTTCCTCAACAAAAAGATCTTTTGCTTGTTCTAACATGCCATACATCTTTTAACATTCGAGGCAAGTGTTTTTGCCAAATCTCCAAATTTGCTCAAAAAGCCCTTCATTAGAACACAAAAAATATTTTAGAACATAAAGGACATAACATGGATAATTTAACAGAAAAGGATTAAATGGAGCATAAATATAATTTACAATATAACTAAATCATACCATCATGTCATTTCGAGAAGTTGTAGAACTAGAACCTATTGATGATTTTTTTCCATTCTCTTCTCTTTTTTCCTTTTGTTTTGGTTGTTTTCTTTTTTCCTTTTGGTGCTTCTAGTATATAAATTATAAAATTTAGAAAACAACAACATAAAGTGTAGTGTTTAAACATAAACATATACAAATATCATACCAAATTGATTCCATTCTTTCCAAGAGTTTTCCATATCCAAATCCATGATCTTTTTCAAACTTATATCTCACTTGAATCCTTTCCTTTGTCCACACCGAAATTAGTGGACATTTTCTTGGTTTTTCTAACCCTCCTCTTTGTAGACGATCAAAATAGAATACCTATTTAGTACATGTTAAGAATTAATTAGAATATTTTTCACACATTTTCAACATAACAAGAATAATATATATACATAATGGTAAGAATTTAAAACTTACCATTAGAAAAGGTAAAGGACCTGTAAAGTAAGAATTTCCCTTCTTCCATACACTTACAGAATCTTTCAAGTGCTCAATCACAAATGTGCACCAATCCAATTCAGCAATTTTCTTTACATCCATACAACTATACAAGAATTTAATGTATAGTTGTGGGTTGTTTGTTGATCGAATGCAACAATTGACAACACATACCACAAAGTTCCAAAGAAATTCATCAGAAACTGATTTTTCCTTCTTCAATTCTTGAATTCTGTCAATCAATCTCTTGTTGGTTGGACTTCCCTTTTAGAGGTAAAAAAAATATAAATTAAAACCTATGGAGATAATAGATCTATTTTAAAGCAAAAAACACTTTAGAACATAAGCAAAGCACTTTAAAACATACAATTTATAACATAAAATTCATACTTTAGAACATAAAATTTAAAACATAACCACATTATATCATCATACTTTTTTGAGGCCAAACTTGCTTCTCCAAGCTTTTAGAAACTTGCTCCATTTCAGATTTGACTCATCATTTGGTTGCTCAATCCTTTTGCCTCCCAATGGCAACCCATAAGCCAAATGAACATCAATTGCCTCCAAAAAGATTTCTTGTTTTCCTCTTTGGTAACATCAAACAACATCTCTCCGTGTCAAAATTCGTAACCAAGTTTTCTGTCAACCTAGAATTATAATGAAAAATGTAAGATTTAAAGCACAATACAGCTATATTTAGAATATAATAGTCAATCTTTAGAAAATAGAAGATTAAAACATTTAGTATAATATTTAAACTTTTGAACATAATTTAGAACATTATATAATAAAAATCTATTTTAGAACATAATAAACATACATTAGAACATAACAAAAAATTAATTTAGAACATTAGTGTATAGCAATTCAAACATGAGAGTTCATAATTTTAGAATACAAGAAGTAACTTTAAAACATAAGTAATTTACAACATAATCATATTATTTAGAACATATGCACATAATGTAGAACATAATCATACAATTTAGAACATATGCACATAATTTAGAACATAGCTAATTTCGAACATAATCATATTATTTAGAACATATGCACAAAATTTAGAGCATAACTAATTTAGAACATAATCTTATAATTTAGAACATTAGTGTATAGCAATTCAAACATGACAAATCATAATTTTGAACATAACATTGATAATACTTATGATTTTAGAATATGATTTTAGAACATAACATTCTACTACTTACGTAGAATTAATATGGATTGGTAAATCCAATTCCAAAAAGCCTCCAAAACCAATGTTCCAATAGCTTGCTTTTGTTTTTTCCGAAAGATTTATCAACACATCTTCATGAATTGAGTAGGAGGTACTCTTTGATAAGGTTGCCTCTTAACTAGTTTATCTTGCTCATTAGCTTCTACTACTTGGACATCCTCACCATCTTCTTCTTTTTCAATCTTTCTTTTCTTCTTCTTCACATCCTCACCATGAATAGATAAACATAATTAGAACATAGATAAGCAAAATTAGAACATAAGCGTGCACTTTAGAACATAAAAATAAAGATTGTAAAGATTAAAGAGTATTATTACCTGAGTTTGATTTTTTTTATTGATTTTTTGTTCCTCCTCACTATCATCTTCCATCTCCTTTTTTCATCTTTCTCTTTCATCTTTACATCACCCTTATTATCATCCTCACCATCATCTTTACTATCATTATTCTTGTCATCATCCTCTACATTATTACCCTCTTCTTCTTTTTGATCTTTTTTCTCTTCTTTCCTTTTTTTTTTGCAATTTTCGAGGTGGTTGAAGCCTTGTTGGAAGTTTTCTATGTCTTATAGCAACACTTTTACTTTCAATATGCTTCTCAAATTCCGATCTATCAATTACTTCCGCTTCAACGTTTTCAACTTTCCTTTAAAAACAATTAAAAATAATTAGAATACAACTAACATTAAATAGAGTGCAAATATAAAGGGATAAGATGAACATAAACTATAATGGATACATATTAGAACATAATACAAATCTTCAGAACATAAGAGAAAATTTTAGAACATAATGGAAAACTTTAGAACATAATGGAAAACTTTAGAACATAATACAAATCTTTAGAACTTAAGGGAAAACTTTAGAACATATTGGAAAACTTTAGAACAAAATTTAAAACATAATAGGTAAAGTTTAGAACATTAGTTTAGTTACCTTTTTCTTACATAAGTAATTTCTTCTTCTTGTATATTAGTAACTCCTCCTTCTGATTTTGCTTCATTTTGGCCTTGCATTTTGCTGCAATTTTAAGAAATAAAAAACATTAGTAACATTCCAACATTATTATTATATTTTTGAACATAGGAATAATTTAAAATATGCTGAAAAATAGTTTAGAACATGCTAAAAAAGAGTTTAGAACATGCTGGAGAGTGAAAAACCCAAAATAGAATGAGTAAACTAGAAATTTAAAAGACAAATGAAACAGAAACATGATAAGGTTTGATTGAGTTTATTTTCAGCCCATGTTCTAAATTATTTCAACCTATGTTATATTTTTTTCCTATGTTCCAAATTTTTCTACCTATGTTCTAAAGTTTATTTTCAGCCCTGCAATCACAAGTTCACTACCAACAACCCCTAACCAATTAGCTGCTGCTGCATAAATCAACCACCACACTACAACCCCTACAAACAGGGGCAATCGCACCAACATCACCAATTTTGAAAAAAAGTTTGTGAATTGGGCATGACAGAATTTTATATTGTACACTATATCTGATTGTTCTGCAAAACCTTTCAGAACTAATTAATCTTCAGTCTGACATCTGACAAATGTTTTACATTATTAAATCAAATCCCATGTAAATGTAATTTCATCTTCTCAGGCTTCTCTGTTATTTTGTCCATTTTATAGCTAAAAACCAAATCCTACTAAATTAATAGATTATGTAATACTAAGTACTGTAAGGACTTAGAGGGTCAGAGCCCACATTTTTGGTGTAGTGGGAGAGGGTTTTATACTTTTACAGTTTTTATTTACTCTACGAAGTACTATATGCATTGTTCTTTTAGGTTAGCCAGGCTAGCCGCTATCGAAAAAATCAGCAAAAATCGAACACTAAATTCGAACTATAGATCCAGAAAAATAAGAAAAAATAGAACATAGAGAATAAGCCAGATTTGTTTTTAGACATGACTAATTGATGCAAGCAGAATAAGTAATGCCAAGTTGTTCAAGCTATGCTTGCTCATTAATCTTCATACCACCATATGACAACAATAGCCACCATCCATACCACCATATGCAACAAAATCTTCATACAAACATGGCTTCTCCTCTCAATGACAACAATAGCCACCAAATCAAGGCAACATGTACAGCAATCCCGGTCACTCGTATTGTGTCCATTGGTAATCCAAAAGATGACTCAGACTCACTACTCATCAAACTCAAAGTCGATTTCAAGCCATTAAATAACATTGACGGAAGAGTGTTATCACACATATCCATCAACAACAAATACCAGATACATATCCATCAACAAGAAAAAAAACAGTGATTTTAAGAAATACTGGACATTCATATTCATAGCTATAATTTCGCTTACTAACGAAATCGAGCATTTAGCAGACATTTTAAAAAAAACGCAAATATCAACTCACGAAATATCAAAAACAAATCAAAAACCATAAAAATCGAAAACAGAAAAACCATTAAAATCGAAAAAATCATCGAAAAATCGAACTAAAAAAACATAAAAACGCAAATATCAAATCACGAAATCGCAAAATCAAATCAAATAGTCGGAAAACATAAAATCGCAAAAATCAAAACAATAAATCGCAAAATGTACTTGAACAACATGCTAAGTTCATGGAAATTTGAACAAAATCGAAAAAAAAAAACGCAAAATCAAATCAAAAAATCGGAAAACATAAAATCGCAAAAAGCAAACCAAAAAATCGCAAAATCTACTTGAACAACATGCTAAGTTCATGGAAATTTGAACAAAATCGAAAAAAAAAATACCTGAGTCGAAAATCCTTCAAATTGCAATTTCTATGGAGATTTTTGGGGGTTTGCAAAAGAGAATGAGATGAGCACGAAGAGAGAGAAAGTTAGAGGAGAGAGAAAATTTTGATCGGGTGGTAGGGCCGTAGGGGGTATGAGGAAAAATACGTGTTTTAATCTTAACCGTCTAAATTACCTTAATCCTACGG